CTTCTAGCCTTCAATGTGCATCTGTCTCTATGTATCATTCTTACACTCCCCATTTCAGCTCCGATGCTGAGAAAATATTTTCAATTACCAGCAGCCCTTCAACTATCTACTTATTCACAGAACTATATCAATTATCACCAGTCACAACAGTTTCTTAAGCAATATACAAATTACTAAACTCTTATTATTTTAGCAGCTCACTACATATCCAACATGCAATTCTGCTGCTGCCATATGCACACCATGTGTTCTTTTACATTAGGTAACTGCAACTGTATCTCCTCACATTGTTTCTTTTAAATGTCACTTAAGAGGAGTCTGGATTGCCCTAAGATACCCCCAGAAAATTAGCCTAACAGATCAAGATCAGGAAAACACAGAGGCCCAGAAATCAATGCCTCCTGTACTCATCCACTTATGAGGAAACTGGGGATTCAATAAGTGCTTCACAACTGTTTTTCCTATGAAGAAAAATGGACATACCAATTTCATGCTTGTGAGTGCATATCATACATTAAACTAAAGTAGTACATTTTTCATCTTCTAGATATTCAATGGGAGAACTAGACCACCAAATTTGACAGTCGTGCCTATTTAAAATCCCTAATGTGGAATGCTGCTTTGTCAAAAAATACAAATTCATTCAGTCACTTTCTTATATTTTCACATACATCAATACAGTAAATTCAAGGCAAGATTGTCTATTAACTTCTATTAACAGCAATGTTTTGTACCAGGTGTAGCTTATAATATGTAAAATGTAGAGCTGACAAGAATAACAAAACAAAAAAAATGTACGAGACTTGCCAGTCTTTCTTCCACTCAAATAACCAGCAAATAAAAATACAACTTATTTTTACTAGACTTCTCATCTCTTTCTGTGTCCCAAACACAAGTTAAAGCATTTGGTCTTTAAGATGTATTTTGGAAGTATACTCAGCATTCTCCTATTCTCAAATTGAACAGCAGAAACCACACGCATTGTCATGTAACACATTTCTCTAGTTGTCGGGAAGGCATGCCACAGAGTGACAGCAAAGAATTAACATTGCGGTGAAAGGTGAAACAAGTTTCAGTGCATCTGTTTCAGACAGCTGCTCTCAATTCAGCCACGTAATTCTCCCTCTTGCTCTCTGTCCCTTCTTCCCCAGTCACAGCGAGATGACTCACATGGCCCAGTGCTGACAACAAGCTACCTCATCATCCTATAGCAATGCAGCCACTAACTTGCCAGTTAGACACATTTCTTTCATTTATGCTCTCTTAAGAAAACCAGGTGGAAAATTTCCAGAAAGTAACAAGTAGTTCTGGGCAAGCACCCAAAGCAATAAATGGCTTTTCTACGCACCTCATAACGTTTTAAGAAGGATGTCATTTCAAACCTTAAGCAAAATATATAATCCAAACAAATTTAAAAATTATCAGATAGCAAATATATTTCTCTCCAGCTCATGATAAAAATAATTAGTCAAAATTTTTATATTATATACATTTAACCCCAGGAATTACAACCAGTGAACCAGGTACGGTTCTTGGAAGTGTATCATCTGGCAAACTAGCTGTTATGGCTGTAAATACCCAAAAGTCTTACATGGTCATTCACTTTAAATAAATAAGCACTACATTTTTAAAAATTCCAATAGTAAGTACCACAAATGCACTAACGAAGATACAAAAGTTGGCACACAGGTTATTTAATGATAAGATATGAAAAGAGTGATGGCAACAATAATATGGCAGCAATCTAAACATCTCAGGTGGGAGACTCATAAAATATGGTCCCAAAGTTTTGTGTAATAACAGATCTTTGAATAAAGCAAATTTATTAAGTCCTTTTTCTAACGTAAACCACATGAAACCTATATTAGCTTTCAACTAATAAACTAATACAGCTATGCATATAAAATGCTGTATGTTGATAAATCATAACCATACCTAGAAATGTGTGTGGAATATTCTTTACAAGTCATTAATTACAAACAGGGTGATGGTGGAGGATGCTGAGGTTATATCTGACAATTCAAACTAGTGGAAATTATGCATATAGTAGAGTATATTCCTGATTATCTGAACTAAATGAGACCAAAGAATAGTTGGATAATAGAAATTGTTGGATAATACAGAAGACTAGTGAAAAACATGAGGGTAAATATCCATTCAATTTACAATATTATTATTAAATTAATAAGAAAATACAATATGGCTTCAAATGAAAAAAATCTCACAAACAATAACAGGATTTAACATAATGTAAATCTGTAAATAAAAGAATTTATATTTTTAAGAAATGTGTAATGGGTATTTGCTTCTGAGTATCCTTCCTTTTCATTGCGGTAAAGTCATGCCAGTGTCTGAACAGTAGTGCATCATTAGTGGCTGCCTCCCTTCGTTGTTCAACATAAGCAAGTGCAGTTTCAATAAAATTCAATCCCTCACTAGTCTATCAGTTATCTCTTGTCCTTCATTATTGTCTTCTAAATCATCACAGACATCATGATAACTTTATAAGAAATTAGTAACTTGCATCAATAAACTAAAGCACAACTGCAATCAAAGTCAATAATAAAAACACACTAAAGCAACAGAGAACATATAATGTAGGACGTGCATGGTGGGAAGTGTAATTCATAGGCTGAGTTGTCTGTTGATAAAATGGAGCATACTAACATAGCAAGTTGGATAAAATGTAATATCAGATAACCAAAGGCTAGACAATCAGAACTCTAATAATTTGTGGTTCCTGCTAGCCAACCATACAGATATAAATATCTGAATAAAAGTGGGTGTCCTAATTTCTGCCCAGAACTTGCTTTTACATTTGACACTATACCTTCCATCCAACAACCTGTCTGCAAGAGTAAAATAATCCACATCTGAAGTAGGGTGGTATTCAGCAATCAACAGAAGGTCTACAGATAATGCTGACTTCAGACTATGGTAGGAAATGGTATTTTTTTACATTAACACAGTCTGTCAGTAGTCAGGGATGGGAAAGATACAACCAAGAGAGTCTTCAAGCCAACATGTCACATATGCACCACTACATTTCCATACAAACGAAAATAAATCAGGAATTGACGCTTTTACAACTATCCTAGACTTTCTGCCTTACCATGAACCTACCAATGCCAAAGCTGAATCTGAGAGAAATACTGAAATAAAACACAAAAGTAAAGTGACTTACCAGTGCCATCTGGGGGCTGCAATTGTTCAAGTTGCTCTTGTAGCCGATCTAGATGATGCTCATGCTGTGTGCAATGTTGTAGATTGTTAGAGGTGACAACCATCTTATCCAGTCCTGGCCTGTTGTGGATCTCCATGCGAACTGGGCCAGATGGTGCTGACAGCATGTTATTAAGACCACTAGAACCTGAGCCATTTTGTTGCCAAGCACCTTCTTCTAGTTTCCATGCATCCTAAAAGGACAATCATTTCCATTCCACAAAGATGACCAATTTGATCAGAAAGTGAGAAAGATTCAGCTCAACAATTTTACTGTATTTATTCTAAAAGTAAACAGCAGCAGCAACCAGGGAACCAGAAATACACCTATCTACACACAATTGGTAAATTAATGGAAAATGGCAGAGTACATTTTTAGCTTTTGTATACACTTATCAAAATTAATATGCAAATTAATAAATGCATTACTTTTGTTCTTTAACCGTAACATTTAACATATGAAGTTAACATTCTAAACATCTTGTATAAAAGTATTTGTATGAAGAATAGCATCAAACTATGAGTGGAAAATTTTATTATATGTTATATTTTTGGAGCCGTGTCAACAAAACCTAATAAACATTTTTCACAAAACGTGTTAACACAATTTATATTTTTTATACCTCATACTAAGATTCAACATACTTAAGGAAAGCAAGAAGCTCAGCTACTTTATGTCAATTTTCTGAACTAGCATACGGTGAAAAATACTAATACACACATTAGCAAAGGGCTGGAAGGTGTTGAACCATCCTTCTTACAGCTCAGACCTGTCATCTTATGACTTACGTGTGTTCAGCCCCCTCAAGAAAGTACTTAAGGACCTCACAGATTCATGTTATATAAAGATGTCAAGGATTCTAGCAGCAAGACAGAGGGAATCCATCAGCTGATGTGTCAATGTCTCAATGCATACTATTTTTAACAGCATCTATTCCCTTATCCATAACAATCCCCAAACTGGTTACATTTTAACAAGCCTCATATTCTGAGCAATTTTTCCTGCTATCTTACGAACCACTGTCAATAAAACTGACATAGAAATTTATTTCCTTAAAGGATTATGAAATATTTTCATTAATGATTCATAAACAGTATTAAACAAACGAGAAGTTGATGAAGTAATATATTGCAGCCAAAGGTTGAACCAAAAGAGTTCAAGCTATCCTCAAGAAATGGCAGAATCTTATGGAGAAATTTAGAAAAGTACTCATTAAATACAATCCACACAATAAGACCTCAAACTTTGGAATTCAGTCTACAAAACCACACCACTCTGCCAAAATCAAGTACCCTCTACTACAGCAATGACAAAGTTAAAAACAGACTGGAAGTTGATAAAATTAAATATCAGTTTTCATTTATCACAATTCCAGAACAAGTAACTTACTGGATCCACATGAACATGAAGAGGTGTAGATAACCGCTCCTGGTCTTTACTAGTCACTATGGTGCCTGCACCCAGTGAACCATTGAAGTTTGAAGGAACAATTTGGGTTTCTGTGAAGTGAGAATAATAAATGACTATCAATGGTGAATCTGGTTACAAGTTCTCTTGGCTCTTATACTTCACCCTTTATAGGGCCAGAGAGGAAAGTATCATTAAGAGGAAAGGACCATTTTCTTCCTTTCTCAGTCTGACCCAGCCCTCCTCTCTGCCCTGAGAACTCTTTCCTATTGGCCCAGACATGTTTCTATCTTCTCTTCCCAATCAATGGCTTTGACTGGCCAATCTTCCTGGCATGATTGTTGTCCTCCTCACCCTTCACAAATCACCCACTTCCTAGCTATCCTCAAATCACCCCAAAGATAAAGGTGGTATGTTCCACTGAAACACTGGTCTACAGTCAAAATACTACACAGCAAACTCAAAATACCACCATCTATACTCACACTACTATGAAAAGCTCAAATCCAATAAATGTTCCCAAATGTTATCAATATTAAGGGCATATGCTTTTCATCACTTGTACTTCATTAAATATTTCAGACTCAAAACATCAAGAATAGGTAAATGTTTTACACTGATGATTTTCTACTTTTACAGTGACAAAAATATTACAATTTCTTATTCATGTCTGTCTTCATTTCATATATCTCTTGTGTCAGAAATAGGTGATAACATGTTTTGATAACATACAGTCATTTGTCTACTGTAGAGGACTACATGAATTTTACACTGTATTTAATTAAAATGCACCATATTAAAATATGAATAGTACAATTTAAAAATATATGTTATGTACCAATTTTTTTTATATAAGCCCAAATTAAGAAAACTGATAAAACTTTGAGCTTCATATAAAGTCAAGTTCATGGGTGAATTTTATTTTGGATCATACTCGTCATGTAAAGTTCAGTACAGACTCCAAAGATAAAATATCACTGAAATCAGATAAGTAGATTCAGAGATGAAAAACCAAAATGAATGGATGGACAGACACAACCACATTTTCACACTTCATCTAGAACATGTAAAGTTTGTTAAAACTACGACAAACCTGGACAGGTTAGGTTATCTGATAAACTTCGCAGCAGGATACCTACGTGATCTATCACTGAAGGTAGTCTTCAATTCTGATTGTGAATCAAGTGTATCTGAACCATAGTCACCTTCTTCAGCACCCTCACTTTCTGCAACATATAATGTTTCACAAACATTTTGAATAAAGTTCATTTTGTACAATACAGAAACCCAAAACATGTAAACAAGAAAAATAATGCAATTAACTCATACAAATCAACCTACATTGTTACATATTTGAATTACGCAAAATTTTGTTAGAATGAGATGGTGATGAACACATGACTATAGCTTTCATACTGATAAGATCATTCACATTGCAGCACCAAAACACGAGCACAAGATAATTATGAAGATTTGAGGTTCTTGATAGTGAGCAAATCAGTATTGTTCTTCTGGGATGTGACATCATGTGGACCTATTTAGATCTGCAGATGGTGACAATATGTTTCTCCGAATCATTGATGTCTACCTATGAGTCCACATGGCACCACAACCCAAAAAATAACATCAACATGTCAGTTATAACTCGTTAATATATGTATTAATTCTTAACCTGGCTTATTAGTGGCACACTCCTAAGGATTGGAATGTTATTTGGTGAAAAATTATACTTTCTGATGACTTGCAAAATATTATTCCGCGTAAGTGAAAATTATATCACTTTGCTCAAGGATTGGATGCATAACCCCTGCTTTCTGTGCAAGTGTCTCCAAGCTTCTAATATACTCGGTATTAGTCTCCAGCTGAGGTCACAAAGAATAATAATAAAAAAACTGCAAAAGCTTGCAGCTTGTACAAGGTATGAAGCAAAATTAGCAGCACCAATCCCTCCCCAATAACCCCAATTATCAAATCACCTCGGTGAAGAGAAACACGTTTACATATACCTTGTTGGGAGTCTAAAGCTAAAACTGAATTGAGTTATTTGTATTGTGGAACCTGTAACTAAATTCAATGGGTTAACCAAGCAAAGGGCAGTAATTCATTTAAGATGAACATATGATTTCCCATCACCAGTGCATGACACTAATAATGACAAGCGACATGAAATAAAAACAATTTACCACATAAAGGAAACGTACAATGAAACAGTCTTGAAATTTTCATTTATTGAAAAAGTTTATAGTGCAGACACACGAAGCAATTTTTGGTTACATTTATTGTAGTGGGACGTGTGTACAGGATTATTGTGTGTTGTTTCCAGGTTTGCTGTTTTCAGATGTTAATATAGACAGAATTAAATTGTCTCGGGACTGGATAAATAGTACAATTGTTGTTTCAAAGTATTTAATGGGTTCTAATTCCACCACAGATTTAGATGGCCTGCTATTATGTGGTAACTTTGCTGATTTATTAATCAGCTGGCCAGTCACTCAATAAGTCAGTGGAAATATACACTTACAAATGTGAAAACTGGATTTTTACATGATATTGTCAGCATATGAAGTGATAAATTCACAACATATGAAGTTGTTATTTGTGGAAAATATCATTATCAGACTGAAGTAAAGTATGTATAAGGAACAGGTAACTTGAGCTTGTTAGTTAAGAATCACATAATGAAGGAAAGCAGGAGAAATGAAAATAAAGCTTCAATACATTCCACACCTTGGCACACAATAAAGTTCAGCAGTCAGCCACATGCCTGGAAATCTCAGAATGGGTGGCAATTATCACTTACAAAACCATACAGTGTCACAACCCAGAAAACCATCACTTTCTTCACTGCCACAAGAACCTTAAATCTCAGATTTGGTGAATATGTAACTTCTTTTTAAAATAACTAATTCTTTTGCACTCTTTGTTGTCCTGTATCTTAATTTAACAGTTTAATGAGAGTTTCCTGGAAAGTTAAAATATTCTTTTTGTCTGTATTTTCACCATGCCTTTCTTTCTGACAGACTACAAAAATTCTCAGTGAGTCACATTCTTATCAGACTGTTCAAACCAATGTATTTTATGCTCTGGTCACTGCAATCATAATGCACTGTACTTCATAATGAATATTGCATCTCACCTTCTGATGAGGGGGCTGACACTTCTGAAGGATATTGTACTGGTTCATCATGCCCTCTAAAGAAGGGAAACAACTGACTCATAATGCGCACCACTTCCTCCATGGAGGGACGACTAGCAGGACTTTTATCCCAGCAACTAACAAGGCACATAGTTAAAAGATTAAAGTTAGTTATGAAATTAAAGACAGAATCATATAATTTTAAATAAACAGAAAAGACGAAAGGTGTAGCCTTTTAGGGTGAAACATATTAACTGATACCATATTATAGAACAGGTGGTACATTGACACAGTTAAGGTGTGATATTAACTACTAATATACAGAAACTGTGTTAAGTTGTCATTAACTACAAATGACAAGAACAAATCACATACAATGAAGTATATATTCAGCATTTCAGTTCATACATATACTGCTAAATTAAAAGGAAGAAATACAAACTATTCTTATTCTTATATACTTTCTTCAAACTATAAGCATTTTTTTAAAGACACACTGATTTAAGAATTCACGGTCCTCATTTTATATCGTTTTACTTCAGCTTTACTAATTTTCAAGTGCCAATAGAGTCAAAGAGTCAAAATAAACCTGTATTTATTATTACTGCTACAATCATCATAACTATGAAAATATTACTTTCATATTGTGATTTGTAAATTATTTTACAGTGCCAAAATGACCTTCAACATTTCTGCAGGATATTTATCTGACCATGGTGCATTTTTGTTTCAGTTGTACTCACCTACCCTGTGTGTTTGTGACTGAAAAAATAAAAAAACAGCAGATTTCACAAAAGGGATGAGCCTGACCACTAAAAACCTGATACCCAAAACAACAATAATAATGGAAAAATTACATAACAAAGTAATAAATTTTATTACAAAAATTGTGTAATTTCAGATGAGGTGTGCCCTAACTATTTCAAGTTTTTGTATAGGGACTGAAGAAAACAACAAAACCCTATGCAGGAAAGCCAATTACCAGGCCACAATTTGAAAAGAACACTGTCCGAATGCAAGTAAGTTATGTTAACATAAAACTAAGCATGTAGTAACTGCACAAGCCTTTTCTCCAATGGGTATCAGGTTCCTTACCTCCAAGGTACAGCAGCAAGTTCATGAAGCTGGCAAATCACCTCATTCTGTGCTATAGTTAAAAATGTGTGGAGCTATGCCTCCACTTCACCATACATCTACAAGGTGCAGTGCCCAGTTAAGCACTGGGAAAAATTTCACCATTCTATATTTATACAAAATATATGAAGATGGCAAGATGCCTTAACAGCCTCACCTTGTCATCAGTTGCTCTATGGGTTTCGGGCAGCCAATGATCAGGGGTGGTCGTTCTCCTGTATGGACAGCCCACATGATGCGGAATGCTGAGCCTCCAATTGAATCAAACGGTTTCTTACGACTTAGAACTTCCCAAAGGATAATGCCCCAACTGAAGACATCACACTTTTCTGTGTAATTGGAGCCTGTAGTAACAGCAAAACATCTAGCAGCAAAATAAATGTAATCTACACTGTTAATCAGATTTATGTTGCACAGTTTTGCTGCAATACATGTGGATACAATGACAAAATGATTAAGCAAAATGCAGATTAAAAGGAAAAGATGCCATTTTAAAACAATAGCTTCTTAATGTTTCTAAAAAAAATTATTAAAAGTTATTTGAAGATGACTGTCTTCTGGGATGTTGTAACATGTAGTCTGGTACACACTGCCCAATGTTTCAGAGACACTTACAACCTCAATCATCTGGGTGATAATCAAGGACCACATAATGGAGGCAGTACGCACCTCTGAAACACACAACACATCCTAGAAGACAGTCATCTGCATACCTGACACCGTGAAAACCTGAAATCTTACGAAATTTTACGAGTGTAGAAACACGTGACTTAAGCATGAATTTATATACACACTGTTTTTGTAAATTCTGTTTCTAAAAGAAGTAAATTTACCTTCAAACACTTCTGGTGCCATCCATGCTGCACTGCCTTTGTTATTGGTCATGTACGTCTTCTTATCACAAGCTGTACCAAAATCACAAATCTTGAGCACTTTACCACCCATAATGAGCAAAAGGTTTGGTGGTTTCAGATCCCTGGAACACATTCAACAACAGCACAAACAGTTACAGAAGGATGTAGAAGGAAGTGGTAGTGTCTACTTCTCATCATTTGCTTGCAAGGACTGACAGAAATAATGAAAAACGTTTGTATGGCTCCCAGTCCTTTGAACTATGGCATCCCACATGAAACTGTGATGCTAACCATTACACTGTAAAACTTGATTGCTATAAAGGTCAAAAAACATATCAGAAAATGGAAAAACCTAAACTGGTACAAGAGAAAACCTGATAACATAAGATCACACTTGAAAGAGTACTTGTAACTTATGTAATCACCCAAAATTGGGAACAGACCGAGTACAATTTATAATAACGTGATAGTTAGTCATGCCTTACCTTTTTCTCTTACAAAAGAATGGTTTGTCTATACTGATGACATCACTAGGACATCTAAAAGTAGTTCAAGCATTTATCTACATACTTTACAGACACAAAAAGTGTTTAAATGATTGTCAACTTTTGCATATAGAAAAACATTACCTGTGTATTAAAGCTTTTGGTTTCATGTTGTGAAGATAAGCAACACCTTTTGCACACTGTAATGCCCAACTCATGGCATGCCCAGCTGAGTATATGGGTAGTGGAGTATTATGCAGAACTGAACAAAGGCAAACATTTATTACACATAAAATCAGTGACAAATTAATTACAAAGACTTGGAGACATAAGTATGGACACACAAAACGACTTGGCAAAATGAAATACATATGCTGCACCCAGAAAACATTCTTGCACGGTCTTTCCACACATTAATTTTACTTAAGAAAATAAATAAATACAGCTCTTTAAAATATGGTATACAGGCCAGATATGATGAATCAAAACTACTTGCCAAGTCCACAAAAATATTTATTCAGTTACTCTTGTAACTGTTAGTGGTTTCAGATGAATATGGATCATTAATCTAGCCCACATAAGCATGTGGATTCTTACATACCACCTCTAAGATTCCAATGCCAGAACAATACTACTAAAACAATTGTCACTTTGTAACAAATCAATAGTAAGCTTCATATTTTATTTGCACAGAAATTATAAACATTGGGAAAACAATGTCTAATAAAACAAAAGTTTAAGCTGAAATGAGAGAAAGTCCATTTAGATCTTCACAGGGAAGAATAGAACTTCCTTATTTATTCCAAGAAAAGTTGACTTGTAAACCAAAATTTATAATTGTAACAAAAATTTATTGCAAAAATGTTCAGATACATATATTTCCTAAGAGGGAGAACAAAGATAGCTTAATGTTACTTATAACTGCACCGTAAACAAAGTAAATGTCACAGACACTTATTGCAAGCAAAGAATATATTCCTATTTTATAAATTAAGAAATGAAGGAATGTAATCAGACAACTAATTACTACTCTGGTAATGGAACAAGGACATTGAATGCAGCCATTTCGACCACACTCCCATCCTCATAATTTGTTTCTGTAAGATCCTCCCATCTTCACTGCATTCCACTTGTCCACTTTCCTGAACTCTGTTGTCCTCCCATCCAAGCCACATGCCTAGCACATCCTAACTTCCTGAAATTCACTTCCCCAACAATGCTAAGTGACCTCTAAAATCTCAGAGTTCTTTATTTTGCAATAACCTCCTTTTCCTAATAATTTCCATAGCACTTTCTTTTCAAACACGTATAAATTATATGCTTTCCTCAGCATATGACAATACCAACTGAAAGTGATAATCATGACTATTCAAAATCAAACACTGTATTTAATATCAAATATGAACCCTTCAGTCAAAGAATGATAAGTACTTCAGATCACTTCAGACTTTTTAAAGTATAAACATTATGATTAAAATTATAAGGCTTATTGTGCACATGTAAACAAATGTGAAAATCTATTAGAATTCAGGAATAAACTGAACTTTTCACCAACCACCTACCTTCAATGTTGTTTTCTTTAATTACAGTGATTCATACAATTTCATCTCTCAACACCCAAACACATCACAAATGTAACAGTTTTAATATCCCTCAGTCAAGCTGTCAAAACAAATATTGCCAATCTATGTCATACAAAATATGTTATGCTAATATAGAACTCCACTCAACTGCTCCCAAGACAGTGGCCCCTGGCAAAAATTACACATTCAATGCACCAAAATTAAACTTCATGGTTCTAAAAAGGTTTTTGTAGAAATACTTCCTTTTCATTTGCCCATTCAATCTCTTCTATAAATATATCTTCATTTTAATCCCTAATAATTTTCAAATATTATAAAATCTGCATATCAGGATTTGTAAAAGCACTTCTTGCATTTGATAACTTACTGTATATAGCAACATCTGACATATTAACTGACACTGAACAGTCATAATTACCATAAAAATAACCTCAATTCAGAGGAATAAATAGTGTACGATTACAGACTTAAATGTGGCAAATGACTGTATAATTTACTGTATTCAATCTCACCATTATATAAAGAACCACCTTCTGCATATTCCATTACAAGGCAAACAGGATTCTGTGTGCAAGCACCATACAGCTTCACTATGTTCGGATGGCTCACTCGCGACAACTGACGAACCTCAACTGCAAATGCCTTCTTTTCTGCTTCTGAGTCAATATGCTTAACTGCCACATACGTCTCTCGCCACCTTCCTTTCCAAACTATTCCAAAAGAACCTTTCCCAACAACCTAAGAAAAAATTAATCAACACTTGTGTACAGCAAGTTTCATTATCTGGTTCTTTCAAAATACCTCAAACGGTGTTGGAAACTGCAATGCAAACACCAAATGTATTATAACACAAACTGTTGTAAAAATTATGCTAATAACAAAATCATCAACTATTCTGAAGATTGTTTGGAAAATATTTCGATACATCCTGCCTAAAATTTATAGTGGTAATACAAACCTCTAACTTCTCAATTTCATTATAGTCTATTTCTTCGACAAAGTGCTGAGGTTGGACGGTACTTTCGTTCCACGCCATGTGTTACTTTCACCATCACATATTTTTTATGTTGCAAAGTTTATTTACACTTCATAAATAAATTAAATTATTATTTATTAAAGCGAACACAAGCCGCCATCATGCATCACGGCCTTCTATTCCTTCCGCCCTGGGCACAACGTTCCAAGGTTGCAGTCAGAACATTACAGTACATAGAAGGCAGAGAAATGTCGCTGTGTCGTTTACACGTCCTCTCTGAGATGGCAGCACAAAATTATAAAACACGGTTTTGATGGAAGTGATTTCACTTCGCAGATTCAATGATTTTCCCCTATATTTCACTAAATATTCACAATTCCAAAAAAATTTTAAAAATAAAACTGCGTATATAAACGATGAATATACTTTGTGATGTCATATATCAATCTTACGTGCGACGCCGAGCATCACGACACCATCTACAACACAAAAGATATCGCAGATGTAATTAGACATCACTGAAGACTAAACTAGAAAAGCGACGCCCGGCGTCGCGACGCCTATTGTCACGACACCTGTACAAGACCCAGGAATGTGACTCGAAAGTTTTGGATAACTTTGATTTCAATTTTAGAAAAACGACGCATGGCGTCGCGACGCCGGATATTGCGACGCCCTATCATGGAGCCAAAGTTACAGATGATACATTTAGATATCACTGCTGATGAAACTAGAAAATCGACGCCGTGCATAACGAAGTTCTTGACGGACGTATTTTTACCGAAGACGCAAACCAAACCTAACATAACATAACCTAACCTAACCTAACCGGAACTATCCTAACCTAACACAACTCAACCTAAACCAACCTAACCTAACCTATCGTAATCAACGCCAGACGTCGCGACGTCAAGCATCACGACACCATCTAATAACACAAAAGATACCGCAGATGTAGTTAGACATCACTGAAGAAAAACCAGAAAAGCGACGCCCGGCGTCACGACGCCTATCGTCACGACACCTCCACAAGATCCAGGAATGTGGCTCGAAAGATTTGGATAACTTTCATTACAATATTAGAAAACCGACGCCTGGCGTCGCGACGCCGAACAATGCGACGCCCTAAAATGGCGACAAAGTTATCGCAGATGAATTTAAACATTACTGCTGACGAAACTAGAAAACCGACGCCGTCCGCCGTCATGCCAGATGAAGCATAACAACCTTCGTATAACATAGGGCACGATGAAAGAAAATCGACGCCGTACGTAAACGAAGTACTTGAAGAACGTATTTTAACCGAAGACGCCAACCTAACCTTACCTAACCTAACATAACCTAACCTAACCTAACCAAACCCAACCTAACCTAACCCAACCTAACCTAACCTAACCTAACCTAAC